TACACTTTATTTCATATCCATTGGTGGGTGAGTGTCCTTCATCCTAACATTTATAAATTCTTGAGCTGGCAGCTGTTCAGTGTCCAGCAGAAGATTTTAGTGCCCAAATAAAACACTGGACCAAATTCCAGAGGTCCTGATTCAGTAAATGATGGAGCGGAGGATTGGGTCTAGGACCGCTAACCCACAGTTTAAACAAGCATCTCAGGATAATCTGTTGCAGGCAATTCAGAGATGACTTAAACTCTCCAAATTCTTCATTTCAGTCTCCAACACAAAATTGTGTTCCTACCTTCACCCTTCCATGTATCTACTCCAGATTTTATGGTACACTCTTATGACTCCTCTGTCTTCACCATTCGTCAATCCTCTTGCCATTATTCTTCCAGTAGATAGCCCCTAACTAAAGTGAAGGGGTGAAAGAAGTTGACTGAAAAGAACCACAATGTGTCCTTCTCTGGGCTCAGGTCCCTCAAGATATGGCACTGTTTCCCTCCATACTGCTTCATGGACTTCTCTCTGTCTCAAACTCTGTAAGAACATAATTATGTTTAAGCAATAAATCAAGTGATTTTAGAAGATCGCTAGATGGTAACAATTGTCCCAATTCAGTAGAAATATAGCAGAGTGCCTTGGCTGGACATAAGTCTGAATGATCCAGTGAACTATGAGATGATGGCTCCTCTGCCATCACCACTACTACAATGTTGGCCTTTTTGCATGAGCTCGTTTTCTGGAGTGGGAGTGAAGGCAGAGAAGGTCACAAGATGGAGACAGTGGGCAAGGATACTTGGGAAGGGACGCAATAGTGGAATAGACAAAATAGTCCATCTTAGCCTCAGAGTTCAGCCCTGTTCAGAGAGAGAGCTTCTTCCTGTTTCTGCTCAGACCACACTGTGACTCTGGAGCAGTGAGATCTGCAGAGAAGAGAGCAAGTTTTCAGCACCCCAAGGATTGTCAGCTTTGGAGGCACAGCAAGACGCTAAGTAGGGATGCTCCTTGAGTGGCAGTGGTGGACACCAACTATTTTCAAGTGACTTTGTTGGCGATGGATACTAACAGGGCCACCAGACACAAAGTATGTGAAGAGACTTATTCATGAGCATATTGGAGAGTGAAGGCTGACATCTTCCAGCAGCAATGGGAGCGCCAAGCCAGTGACATAAACACGAAACTACTAACAGAGTGGGTGAATGTCAATAGTCTCATTTTCATATCTCCATTAATTATGAGAATTGGGTAATTAAAATAAAACTGGTAAATACTCTGTGTAAAACTCATTTCACTTAAAGTTTTCTCTACCTCAGTAGTCTTAATCTTTTAGCTTTTATCGAAAGCTGGCCTGAGGCAATTAATCACAGTGAGGAATAGTCTAGGGTGCATGCTAAACATCTATTACCATCCTGTCTTAACGGTTTCCCTTTGAGACAACCCCAAGGGGATCAACCCAGACTAACTCACTGTAACTCCCACAGAAACAACTGCATAGAAAGAGAACTTCATTTTGCACTCTCATTTTTTCTTAATCAAGGGATGATGTAGACAATGACATAGTCCTACTAAAATGTTGATCACTGACTCTTGTATGAAAACTTTGCAACATGGGGCTTGCCTGGCAGTATACTGGTTAATTTTGCGTGCCCCGTTTTGGTGGCCTGGGGTTTGCAGGTTCGGATGCCTGGCTTGAATCTATGCCCTGCTCATCAAGGCATGCTGAGGTGGCATCCCACATACAAAATAGAGGAAGATTGGCCCAGATGTTAGCTCTGGGCCAATCTTCCACAAACACACACAAAAAAGTTGTAATAAATTCATCTGAGAGTTTAGAAGCATGGCAAAAGATAGTAAAGTTACTGAAAACATCTATGTGTCATATTCTTTTGGTTTCATTTTATTCTTCACCATGAGCTCATGAGGAGATAAGTATTATTATACCCATTTTACAGATAAGTAGAGTAGAGCTCAGGTAAGTTACAATTGGCCCAAGTCAATGTGAGTGAAGGACAAAACAGGGATCAGAACCTGCTTCTGTCCACCCTCACAGTCCATTCTACTCTGCCATTGCCTCTCTTGACAAAACTGTAATTTCTCCATTATAGATTATGAAAGTGATGGGAACCTGCTGGCTTCCCCTTTTCCCATGTCTTCTAGGAAGTACTTTGCTCAAATGCCACAGCTCTGGGGTTCTAATATAATTCTTTACCTTTATTTTTTTAGCTAAATTGTTCCTGTAGCTTTTCACACATAGTTCCTAAAATCTTTTTTGAAAGTAAAGAAACACAAATAATCAACAATATAGTAAGCGTCTACACAGACACACTCTTTTTTAACCTTAAGATACAACCTAGAAAGTAGGAGCTTTATATATAATAGATAGTATATGAAGTTACCTCAAAGTTGGCACTTTTAATATACCTTCTACCTTTGTCATCTTTACCCTTCTTTACTAAGAAAGGTACCACATATGCAACTTAACATAGGCACATAAAAAAATCTGTAAGAATAAGCAGAGGTGGAGGCCAGTCAGGAGCCATCTCAAACCCACATATGTGCGTGCTCACAAACGTTTACCCAGAAACCCTGCTTGGTGCCCTGGTTATCAAGCAGCTATCTCTCAGTAAATGAAAGTAGAATGTTTCCCACCAGACTGCAATTTTCATTGCATCATATTTTGAAATAGGTCCATGTACAACACGAAAGACATCTGCATTGGCAGTGGTGAAACACTCAGAATTTGCAGGCCGTCACTGGGAGTTCTGTGCCACAGGAGCATGGCTGACTAAAGGACAATGCCAGAGGCATTCAGCCTCCACGCTTGCTTAGCTGAGTAATGAGGTCAGGAACAGCTATGTTGGCCTATTAGTAAAGGTGGACAAACCAGTCTCAACCACCAAAGGAGCATAATCTAGGAATTTGGACTCAGTGGATTGTTGAATACCAATTTCCACCCATAAAAACTGAGTCACCTTGAAAAGATATCCAGAGAACATGTTGTCTAAGGGGAGCCTGAACCTGAAAAGTCAAAAACTTTGGCAAGATGCATCTGACCCAAGACTACACTGTAATCACACGTGTGTTAAAGAGATTTTATCAGCACCCATCAGGATTAGTGGTTCTGAAGTCTACAAAGGCTGAGATGACATTTTGGAGACTACCCATGTAGGAGAAGGGCGTCCATGTGTAAGACACATGTAAAGTGCTGTTATCCACAAGGATCTTTTGGGAGATTAAACAGGATAATGTTTTTTTCACGAACCAGGACTCTTCAAAGCAGAAACAGAATCTGTCCAACGGAAATAAACTTTTATATCTAACAGCATTGGTGTTTTAAAAACAAGTTAGACTTCAGTCAATATAAGGAATTAAAAACAGAATACAAACGATTCCTTTAAAGATAGAGCTTATTATTTGGTTTAGGTTAAGAATGAAATATACTACTTTTTATTTCTAAATTTTGGTTTCTCTAAACATGTATTCCTTTCTTGGAAAAGAGTTTTGCTTAGGAAAATACAAGTTCAAAAGTATCTTCTTCGTTATTCTAAATGAAGACATATCAAGGGTAGAAATTTTAGGAAATGCAAAAATAATTAAAAAGTGCTAAAACCAAGCAGAAAAGGTGGGAGCAGAAAGAGAAAAGTAAATCCATAGGTGGCTTATGTGATGAGAACACAGACACAGCCAGGGTGCACGTGATTAGGGATAACAGAGCACCTCTGGACTCTCTCGCTCACGCACTTTGCTCCCTGCATCAGCTCTAGTCTCTTGGCCGGGCTCCGTTTGGGACACATCTGTGGGGAGCTCAGAGCTTACAGCCCAGAGCTTGTAACCAGAGAAGATAAGAAGACCTCACCTCGAACTCTGGCTAGACAAATGGCAGGGAAGGACGCTGGGCAACTCAGACTGCGTCACATACTCGTCACTGGACCAAATGCCACAGTCCACTCTGCCTGGGATACCCAGAATCACCGCTCTCCCTGGGGCCGGGGGAAGAGGTGATTCTGCCTGGCAGCCACCATCAGAACCACGTGATCAGAGCTGAGCAGAAGTTCTTCTGAGCAGGAAAAGCAATAAATATTTACTCTCAAAAATATTTGCAGCTAGCATCGTGGTTACTTCAAATGTGTTCCTTTTATCTACTTAAGTCTACAGACCAAGTTATATACGTTTTTTTCCCCCTAAGAAGTACACTTTGTATATCTGCACTTGTTGAAACAATTTTAAAAATTGTATGTTTAGTACAAAATGAGTTGTGAAACATTGTGCAGGCAATTTCTCAGACACAGTAGAAAGGTTTTTATGTACACGACATTTCCTTTGGGTACAGAGTCACTGAACTTTAAAATTCAGGGTTTCATTCAAAGGGGCAGAATGCAAATTTGGGACACAGAAGAGAGGCTATAACAATTCTCTTTGCAAACAATAGAGAAAAAGATGCATTTCTGGCAAATAAGTAAGGCTATATCCTCAAAATCTGCTTTAAAATATTTTGGAGAAGATGGCATTCTATAATATTGCAAACTAACTTCTAAGCTGAGGAAACAAAAAGTGGATGGCTCGGTAAATCCAACTTAGGCTGTGTTGAAAGATGTCAAATTAAGAGATCACGCACGGGCTTTCGAGATCATCCAGGTGGGTAGGATGGCTCACTGCAGCCACGTGGACGCTGACCAAGTCATGCTCTGGAAGCCAAGTTTCTGACCTCAATAGGAAGTATATTCTAAGCTTCAGGGCAGAAGTAGGCATAAGCAAGAAATCTTTCTAAACTCAGGGTACACCTTGAAGCTGGAGGTCAAGAAAGAGCACTGAAGTCAAATCAAACAAGGTACCTAGAGTTAAGGACAGTTCAGACTAGAGGGCCATGGAGAAAGCAGCACCCAGGAGAGCAGACAGAGCAAGAGCAGAGAGCACCTTGCTTGGAATATCACTCGTGCAATACTAGAGACGAGCAACTTACCATACGCGTTATGCAATCAGAGAATTTATTAGAAACAAGTACCAACCTGATGCAAAGTTTCCTTTAGTTGAAAAACTGAAGTACCTTCTAGGAGTTTCCTCATATCTTTTCTTCTGTATTGTGATGGAAGTTTTCTGTTTGTGTACAGACCCAGGCAACGGTGAGATGGAGAAGGAAGGCAGGGCCCCAAATGGCGAAGAGGAATTAAACAAGAGCAACAAAAAATCTGGCTGCTAGTCACTTGCACCTGGTAGAAAGTGTCAAGAAAAACCACAGATTTGTGCCTGAGGCTTTTTAAGTTAAAAAAAACCACAGTCTATTAATTCTTTCGACAAATATTTATTTAGTATCCGTGACCTGTCAGTTTGCAAGGAGGTAGGGATGCAAAAATGTAAAGGACACAGCCTCTTCCCTCGAGGAGATTACAATATCAGGGTAAGGCAAGCAAATAAAATCTACATGATGAGTAAAGGTCTAACTGAGGTGTATATTACTATGAAAACCTAGGAAAGACAGCATTTCACTCCACCAGATGAAAATGAACGGCAGTCCAGACCTAAGCTGTAAAGAATGACACAAGATACAACGTAAAACTAAAGCCAAATCTAAAAGACTAGATTTGAGTTTAGAAACTACCAATGGGGTAAGAAAATCAAGTCCAAACAGATTTCTTGTAAATGTTGAGTACTTCCTGCTTTGGGATGAGCCAGAAACAGAAAAATCAAGATAACAAGTTGAGTGTATTCCGCTGAAACCAGGAAGTAAAGAGGACCATGAAAACTAAACCTAAAAAAATAATGAAAAGAATACATAAAAGATTTAATGGATGGAAATGGTGTTGAATTTGGAATGAGACATAGAAAAGAGATAGGCGTATTGTTCGTTTTCGAGATATCAGTTCACCAACTCGATTCAACGTGTGCTCCCTTCAACCTAGAAATCTTCCAGAAGAGTAACAAGAGTCCTAAGTTGTCCCTTATTCAGAAAGACTTGCAGCACAGAGAACTTGAAGAAAAAAAAATTCTTCCAGGCTCCCTTCTTCTTCTTCTCTCCTTCCATGACCTCTCGTAAGTCTTTGATCATTTGAAAGGAATGTGTGGGTGGTGTGTAACCTTAAGAAATGTTCCTCTGCCAATTTACTAGAGGGAAGTTTTCTTTTTCTCTTCTCCCCCTTGCTCTAAGTTCTGCACAAAACCGCACCTTGCAGCATTGTACAAAGTCACTGAGAGGCGTCCTTGAAAGACTCCAGTGAAAAGAGAAGGGAGCTGAGGCTGTGAAACCAGACAGCACCCCTTCAAAACCAGATTTTTGTGGCCCCAAACAATCCTGTCTCTTTGTGTGGGATGGCTAGTGGTTGGTGAGTCATGTTACCAGGTGTATTTATAGACCATGAATTAAAAATAAATAAATAGACGTAGTTATCACCTCTTAAAAGTCTCAGAATGAGCACACAGAATAGCCAAAGGAATGTCTGAAAGTACGAAATGTTGCTACTATGAGAGAGCAGGCTAAATGCAACAGATCTAAGAGTTCATTCAAAAGACAGGGATTCTGGCTGACTCCCCTGTAGAATCCACAAGATTCTTCATAGAGTGACGTGCCTTTGAAAGATGATCAATCAAATGTGCTGTGGAATCATTGGCAATGATCGGCAATGAGCAAATTGATTCTCATTTGTTTCATGCAACTATTTCTCATTTCAGTCTAAAATATGCATGGTGTATAAGAATGATGTTCCTTTTCACTATTTTCTCTTTACATTACTGCATATTAAAGTTATTTTTATCAAATGTAATAATTAGACTCATGGTAACTCCTACATTGGGTAGAGACTAACTGGAAGTGGTAACTGAACAAGGAATTCCTTCCCTCAGAAAATCATCTGTTGATCTGATAACCCGAGTTATCAACTAATCACCTGAGCTGGGAGAGGGTTTCTTATTTCGGGAGCTCAGAACCGCTCAACCATTTCTGAACTGCTTCCCAAAGCAAGGTCCTCAGGTAGGAAACAGGAACCTAGGGAGAGATCCAAAAGGCAGTTTCCGTTTTGAAACAGGAAACGTTTGGTAGTGTTGGAGAGGTGGATATAAATCATATATACGCATACATATATCAAGAAAACATGGTCTCAGCCAGTGGTTGAGGCCACTAGGTTTCTGCAGTCACTTAAAAGTGGGCTCCAAAGTGGGACGCACTTAGTCAAAGGATGGGCAACATCACCCACTCTAACGAAGGAGAAAAACATCAGAACTTAGATTTATGTGTATTTTAAGAGAAGAAATCAAACTTTACTGATTTTAATATATACGTTGAAAATAGCATATATATTAAATATATACATATTTATGGATTTGTGTTCAAATATCTTTCTCTGGTTGGCTTTTGTTACTCATTGGCTTTTTGTATCTTTTTGTCTGTTTTGTTTATTGATGTTTCCCAAGTTTTAGAACAGGGCTGCGATTGGGAAGCATTCAAAACATTGTTTTTGAGTGAGGTGGAATACATTTGGTCACGAAGATTGGAGACTACTAACTTAAAATAAAGTGTGATAAAGGTGAGCTTCTTCAAATTATTAAATCAGATTCAAGCATCAATTAGTGTGTATGTTTTGTCAAATTGTATAGATCAGAAAGATATCCATCGATGGCTTCCATCAGACAGCATGTCCTTTGGATAAGGAAAGGAGTAAGCAAATAATCTGAGGTCCAGAACAGGCCTGTCAGCCAGAGAGGGAAGCATCTTTATCTGGAGTTTGACACCAGAGAAGACCAGGAGAGGCTGCACTGATGGAGGAGGGTTTGGGAGAGTCGGTGGATTCGAAGAGACTGGAGACCCGTCCAAATCCTAACCACCCTCACCAAAAAGACAATAAACTACACGGAGTCCACTTTAAACCAGACTGGAGAACTTCTCACACTTTCTCAGTTTAAGAGGAAAAGAGAAAGCCTTAGACCTTGGCTAAAATAAAAATAAAAATCAGAGCTCCCACTAAGAAAGAAACATAGGTTTGCAAGTCATATGGTACTTGGGTTAAAATACCACCTCACCTATTTATTACCTGTGGAATCTTGAGCAAACTTCCTGACTTCTCCAACCTCACTTTCCATTTGAATTTTTAAAAAAAGTCACTAATACCTCTCACAAGTTTGTTGTGGTGAGTAAACAATGGAGCATTTCCCAAATCTCAGTCTTTCTTATAATGTTTCAAAACTTCCATTGAGTCTAACACCAATAGTATTATTTTAGTTATTTTTTCCTTAAACACATATTTCATAAGAAATCTTTGTATTATTATCACAAATTATCACTTATCATAAATAGAAAGCATCATAAAGATAAATACATATCTCTTAAAATTTGGGGAATCATGATTTTTAGTTGCCTGGACAGTTGATTTCTGTTATCCTGGTGTAATTATTAACAGTGTTCCTTTTACTCACAAAAGTTTTTCAGTCTAGACTATAAGTGGGGTAATTTTACCTAAAAATATCTGTGTATCCCCAGAGGTATACTCACCATTGGGAAGCACTGACTCCCGTGTGTGACATGCCAGCAGAGCAGCTGGTACGTGGAAAGCACTTGACTGGGAGAGTTTTTCTCCTTTGCTGGAGTGCCTGTGAGATGGGAATCATGCTCCTCACAGCTCCAGAGCCTATGTGGGCCGGGGGCAAACACTGTGGGACAGCAGGACACAGAGACCAACAGCTGTGGCCATTGATCCTTTCATGCCCTCGTATCTTTGCACACTAGTATCAGAAACAGACATACAGTGGATACTGGGTAATTTTGTTGTAGGGATATTAAAGAGTGAGCACAACTCAGCATCTCCAAAAAGTCAAAAAGTGAACTCCAATAAAACACCTACAAACACCCTCCAGTTATAGGATAAATGGGTACTGGGGATGCAACGTGTATGATAACCATAGTTAACAGGGCTGCATGGTACTTTTGAAATTTGTTAAGATAGTAGATCCTAAGAGTTCTCGTCACAAGGAAAAACATTTTTTTCGTTTTCTTTTTTTTGTATCTATATGAGACAATGGATGTTAACTAAATTTATTGTGGTAATCATATCAAGATATACATAAGTCAAATCATTATGCTGTACACCTTAAACTTATGCAGTGCTGCATGTCAATTATATTTCAATAAAATTGAAAAACTATTAAATTTAATTTTAAAAAACACCTGAGGGCCAGCCCGGTGGGCACAGCGGTTAAGTTCTCAGGTTCTGCTTCGGTGGCCTGAGGTTTGCGGGTTCAGATCCTGGATTTGGAGCTACAGATCGCTTATCAAGCCATGCTGTGGCAGCATCCCACATATAAAAAGCAGAGGAAGATGGGCACGGATGTTAGTGCAGGGCCAGTTTTCCTCAGCAAAAAGAGGAGGATTGGCAGGAGATGTTAGCTCAGGGCTAAACTTCCTCAAAAAAATAAAAAAGAAAACCACCTGAGAACATAGTAAATCAACAGGGTGTCTCTCTCTCTCTCTCACCGTGTTTGTGTTTTATATATGTGTAACATATTTCAGTAACATAAAAACATATATGGAATAAAGAAAAAAGACACAGGAATTTGTGAGACTCTAGAAATTGTGACAAAAATCCAATTGTTTTAATCTGAGCTCAGACTGTTAGAAATTTGGTGGTGATTGGGGAGCAAGGTTGATTTTAGATTCTCTCCTAGACTTTCTTGACTTTCATGGATGATAATTACACAAGAATCAAAAAAATGTATAAAACTAAAGTTTTCTTAGGATCTGAAACTATTTACCTTCTATAGCCTAGAAAATATTTTCTTGAAATAAATTACCACTGCTACTATAGTTAAAACAGAAAAATATTGTGACAACAATTATTGAAAGAAAAAGTTAAATTGTGAGTAGTGATATAAACCAATCCTGAGAGATAGTGTTTGAGTATGAGAGTGGGTAGATCTTTACAAGCAACATCTCCTTGATTTTGGCAGTGAGTACCAAGTACCCTCGCTAAGGCAAAAAGTATGTTTCCAAGAGTACAGCGTAAAATGAGTAAATCTTAAAATAAATCCCATGCGTCTAGGTTTAGAGTTTATATCTTATATCTTTAACTAGTAGGAAAAGTTCCTTTTTCATTCAGCAAGTATCTCAATTCCATGACAAAATGGATTCTGGATTGTTCTATTAATAAAGGTGTTGAGTAGCACTTTTATACTTCTAATATACACTAAAAGTGTTATAAAATTTTGTTCTAAATAAAGACTTCGTCCATGTGAACACACTAAACACCAAAAAAGTAACAGAAATAGCTAGATGATTAACAAATAAAAGCAGATAAAGGAAAATATGAGCCCTTTAAAAGGTCAAAGAAAAATTTCAAGTAGCTAGAGTTCTGTGCATTTGCCCTCTGAGGCTTTCTGAAAACTCCTTTAGGGGCAAAATACATTTCCAAGTGAAGTAGTTTTTGAAAGTGGTTTCAACTCGTCTGATGTGTTATTGTCGAAATCAAGAAAACACTTCCTTTGTCTGCTTATCAGCAGGTGCTTGAGTATGCAGAAAGGACGAGGTTCCAAGTGGAAGGTACTTCCCCAATACCTAGTAACATGTACTTCTAAATGCTGGGTGTTTGCACATTGAAAAGGTAGTTTTTAAAGCAAGCATAGATATTTTGTGTAGAAAGATATCCTGTGTGGTTTTTCTTTAGAATACGGGGGAAAGACTGTAAAATATACTTCTTTATAAGCTTGGACCTCAGGTATAGATTAGTCTTTTGTTGTTGCTGTTCTCTTAAAGGAAAGTTTTATTCAAGGTTAAATTGAGGCTACCTTTAAGCAAAATATTGGAAATGGGGAAGGAGATAAAATTCATGCTGGACTGTTTTCTGCTTTCATCGCTGTTTCACTCATTCATAGAGTAGCTATAATAATTGTAATTTCTTGTTACCTCTTCCAGAAGCATTTAAATTTTAAAGGAGCACCCTAGCTCCAAATTGATCTAGAGATTCAATACAATCCTGATGAAAATTTCCAAAAATGTTTTTTATGTCAAAACTAACAAGCTATTTCTGAAAGTGAATGGAGATGCATATGACCTAGAATTGCCAAAGCAATTTTAGAAAAAGAACAAAGTTGAGAAAATTATACTACCTCATTTCAAGATTCACTGTGAACCTATGTAATCAAGAAAATGCAGTAGTATCAAAAATTAGACATATTGGCAATGGGGCAGAAAGTCCAGAAATAGAGCCAAGCATAATACTAAGCTCATTTGATTTTAAACAAAGGTGTCAAGGCAAGTCTTTCCAATCAACTGGAACAACTGGATATCTGCATGAAAAACAAGAGCAACCTTGACCTTACACCGTAAACCAAAATGAAATGAATCTTAGATCGAAACGTAAAAGCTAAGCTATAAAATTTATAGAGAAAATAGATGAGAAAATCTTTGTGATTCTGGAATAGGCAAAAATTTTTTTAGGTAGGACACACACACACAAAAGTATGAACCATAAAAGAAAACAGAAAGTCAAGTCACAGATGGTTACAATTCATTATTTAACAAAGGAGTTGTATTCAGAAAGTACAAAGAGCTTTTACAACTTAATAACTCAAAAAATAAATGGGCAAAAGATTTACAGACACTGTACACAAAATAATATGAACTGGGGCCAGCCCGGTGGCGCAGCGGTTAAATTCGCACATTCCGCTTCTCA